GAAGAACAAGTTGAAGACTTTTGTGACTTCCCGGCACGTTTCCAAAATGACTCTAAACTCATGGTATAATAGGTATATCGTATATCCGTATACAGGGGCGTTGCAACTAGTCTGCTGCACACAGCACACACATGATAAATGCAGAAGGAAATCAATGAATGAACGAAATAGCATATGAAATTATGAAAACTAGAAGGCAGAATAGCCGGGCTAATGCTGTGACTTCTCCTGGCTCTTATAGAAGTGTACTTATACCTCTATAGCTCTACCTTATGTAGAGGAGTTGTATTATCACGTTTAATTCTTAGTCGGTACAAGACTAATTATAATCATCTAAATAAAATCATACCAATCCAAGCAATAACATCAACCACTCTAGCTAATTAGAAGGTAGAAATTAGATTGTTTATTATTCTTGATCAACAAATAGTTAGAATGTTTACGATAAGATATTGAGCAAGGTGAGGCCATATGTTGAAACTTTTCAAGAGAATGTTTTTATGCTACGAGGTAATTAACAAAGTCTAGCCCATTCAACATTCTTACAACTTTTCAGAGGTAATTAACAAAGTCAAGCCAATTTAACACTCTTACAATTTTTCAAGAGAATATTTATACTTGAAATATAAGATAATTATAACCAAATTTCAGCAATTTACAAAAAATTCTGCAATTTGTAATGTATATTAGCAATTTAGCATATGAATTTCAAGTATTAGCATAATAGCATATGTATATGTATATTAGCAATTTAGCATATGAATTTCAATTTTCAAGTATTAGCATATGTATATGTATATTACTATATTAGCAATTTAGCATATGTATATTAGCAAAAAATCCCCAAATTCACTTACCCCTACATACGGTGGGTCTGCTCCGCCACGGCGCCACTCAGGGGCGGAGCTACGGTGGTCAGCTGAGTGGCTGACTAGTGACTACTGGCCTACTGCCGACCTGCCGTGCTGCGGTGCTGGCTGAGTGCCTGAGTGGCTGCTGCGGACTTCTGCGGTGCTGCGCCCGTGCGCCGGGAAGAGAAGGAGCCAAGGAGGAAGAACGGGAAGAGAAGGAGCCAAGGAGGAAGAACGGGAAGAGATTAAGAGAAGGAGGAAGAAGTTAGGGTTTTGCAATTTGGGGGAATGAGGAAGAGGAAAGCTGGAAGCAGGGGATTAGGGGAAGCAGGATGAAAGGAAACAAAATGAAAAAATAAAAGTGTGAGTTATGGGTTTCGAACCCTGAACCCACAAACTCTTGTATCATTGTATGATGAGAGGTAAAAATAACCACTGGGCTACAACTTTACTTGTTGCCATATAATACACAAATATTCTATTTAAACCTATTTTGATTTTTTCTTTTTTAAAAAAAAAAAAAGTTTTTAATTTTTTTCAAAAAATCAGTGGGTTCAATGAACCCACTTGAACCCACCGTGGCTCCGCCCCTGGGTCTGAGTTTCATCTTTCCTATGTTCTTACTACTCCAATTATAGATTTAAGGTTTGAATTATAATCCTTTTCACCAGTTTAGAATTTTATAAGCACTAATTCCTTATTTTGTTGTTTAGTAGTTTATTTTTGGTAAGGTTTTCGTTGGTAAAACTATTAATTCTCAATTCATTTGTCTTAAAAAAAAATGTATCCTTTAAGGTTTTCTAATTTTACCTTAAATTTAATTTTGATTGTGGCTTCTTAATTTTTCTGGTTTTGATTTTTTTTGTTCAGGAAATATGAAAAAAGGAAAATTTGGCTTGATGGTTTGACATCTCACCGGTTTTTTAAATATATGCAGAATTGAAGAACAATGTATTGAATTCAAAAAGTCAAACTGCTCCATAAATGGTCAATTATAGAAATCTCACTGGTTTTTTAAATACAGTATATCAAATAATTTTTTAAATCTCACTGGTTAATTTTGTAACAAGTCCTTATAATTATGACTTTTGAATTTTAAAAGCACTAATTCCTGATTTTTATGGTTTATTAATTTATTTTTGATAAGGTTTCCGTTAGTAAAACTATTGGCATTGAGTGATGCGGCATTAAAGAACAATGTATTGCAAAGGTTTTTTTTTTTTTTTTCATTTTCCTGACAATTGTATTTCTCTTTTATCCGTTTTGAAGTTCAACAAGTCGTCTTTTGTCGTTGTCGTTGCAAATTGGTACTGTTTTGTCGTCGGAAAGTAATCTTTCTCTCTCCTCTCCTATTAGCAGCCCTCTCATTAATTGTTCTAGTACGGATTTTTCACCAAATACCACTGAGTTATTGCAAAATTCACCATATACCACACAAAATTTTCTAATTCACCATATAGCACTGAGTTAATGTACATTAACACAGAATGCCATTTTTGGTAACTGTCGTTAACGCCGTTAGTAATTAAGGTTAATTGTGCCACGTGGCAGCTTGTAATTGGTTCTTATTAATATTATTTAATTACTTAAATAAAAAATTAAAAAAAAACAACCACCTTCTCTCTCTCCTCTGACCGAACACCCAGACCACCACCTTATCCCGACACCCCTTGCAGGCACAGAATCCGACCAGATTCCCCCAGTCGCCGGTGCATTGGCCTCCCCCTGTCGCGCCTCTCCTGCCCCCTAAACCACCAGCCCCTTCATCGAAACCAACTCCCTCAGCCCGAAACCTCCTCCTCGAAGAATCCCCAAATTCTCAATCATTCCTCCCAAAACGAAATCAGATAATTAGGGTTTCGAGATGAAGGTCGAAAATCATGGGTTTCTTCTATTCTCAAAGCTTTAGGGTTTGGTTTCGCTCGATCTTAGGGTTTGATTTCGCTCGATTTGATTTCGCTCGATTTTATAGTTGATTTTTCTCAGTTTTCTCTCTTCATTGCCGCCATTAAAGAAACCTTTCATGGGTCATGTCAAGATTTGGGGGCTTTTCTGGCAACTAGGGCTGACTTACGGGCTGCCTTGGTGGCGTGTTGCATCAGATTTGGGGGTATTCTGGCGGCAAAATTGAGGAGGAAGGGTTAGGTTTGGGGCGTTGTATTGGGTGGGGCGTCGGAGCGAGGAAGGGAGTCGTCGGCGGTGTTTTAGGCGTTTGGGGTTTTGGGTTGGTGGTCTGGGCGGTGTTTTGGGCGTTTGGGTTCCGGGTTGGTGGTCTGGGCGGTGGTTTGGGCGTTAGTGGTGGTCTGGGTGTTCGGTCAGAGGAGAGAGAGAAGGTGGCTTTTTTTTAATTTTATTTTATTTAAGTAATTAAATAATATTAATAAGAACCAATTACAAGCTGCCACGTGACACAATTAACCTTAATTACTAACGACGTTAACGACAGTTATCAAAAATGGCATTCTGTGTTAATTTACATTAACTCAGTGCTATATGGTGAATTAGAAATTTTTGTGTGGTATATGGTGAATTTTGCAATAACTCAGTGGTATTTGGTGAAAAATCCGGTCCTAGTAATTTCATATTTTTATCATTTATTAATTTAATTTAATTTAATTACAAAATTTAACGTCAGTTTTATATTCAGTCGCTTTTTTCAGTTTTAGAGTTTTTTCATGTGTGCGGTTTAATTTGTTTGTTAAAGAAAGAATAATTAAAATTAATGAACCGTTTGTTTCAAAAAAAAAATAATAATAAAAAAAAAATGAACCTAGATTTCCGGTGCATATCCATGATGACTAATTCAAACAAATTTTAACTTGGAATGGCAGTTTCTATATACGGTGGAGAAAAACTTAAATGTCAGACTTATTGAGTGGATTTTTCAGGGGTTAATGCCGGTGGATAAACAAGCGAACACTTCTTAATTCTTATATATCTACGTCTTTTCATTTTTGGGTTTCATTAGGCTAATTCATCATGATGAGTTTTCATTTGTTTTAAGGCATTGTGTTTGGCCTGTTTGCTATATTGTTTATGTATTATGCATTTTAGTTACTCGTAATTTAGTTTAGGACTTACATGAGATACATCTTTATTATTTGCAACTCAATACGGAGTATATATCAGTCCTATATCATGTCTTGAACTTTAGAGGTATTGCTTCTTTTTTTTTTCCCTATATCTTCTTAATTGCTGTAAAATCGCTTTAATACTTCAAATTTAATTATTTAGAAATCCAAACTATTTATATTATGTATTGCAAGTGTGTATTACAAGAACAATTGGTCTTCGAGAATAGAAACAATAATAAGAGGTTTTTTAAAAAAAATTCTTAAACATATGATTTTACATATAATTATCTTTACAAGTCATGGGGATATGAGATTTGTAAAAATGGAAAAGTATTATTATTATTGGTGACGACTTTCTCTTTAATGTAGCAATTCAATTTATTGTATAAATATTAGATCTTTTACGTAATTCTGTCGTATTGATGTATTGGGAAAAATTGTCAAACTAAGCGTTTTTGGGAAACAATTTCCCAAACAAGACGCGTGGCAAAACTATTTACCAAACTAAGCTTCCAGAGTAAAACGCCAACCAGGATGGCGTTTTACCCTGGGCATTTATTTTTTTTTTATTTTTAGTCAAGGATAAAACGCCATCAAGGGTGGCGTTTTACTACTGGGCAAATTTTTTTAAAAAAACACATTTACACAAAAACGCTAACGCCGTTGGCGTTTTACCCTGAGTGATTTTTTTGAAAATAATTTACCCCCCTAAAGTGCCACCATGGTTGGCGTTTTATCTCTGCACACAAACACAGCTACACAGCAACAGCAGCAACAACCACAGGAGCTGCAACAACAACAGCAACAACCACAGGAGCTGCAACAACAACAGCAGCAACAACCACAACAACTACAACAACAGCAACAGCGACAACCCCAACAAGAGCAACAGCGACAACCCCAACAAGAGCATCAACAACAATCACAACAACTACTACAACCTTAACAACAGGAACCACAACAATAACTGCAACAACATCAGCAACATTAACAACACCAGCAACAACAACAACACCAGCAACCAATACAATGAAAAGAATGAATGCGTATGGTGAAGTTGATAATGTACAGAAAATGAACTAAAAAGGTTAGTAAAATTGATAATATTTATTTGGATACAATGTACTATAGAATCTGATTACAACTAACAAAAGAAGTTCTAAGATCCCGATTCATCTATTGTATGTAAGTGTTGTCTATCCAATCGCGGTCTTCTACGACGGTAGTACTGAGATACCGTTGTGAAAGGATCTGGGGCAGAGGTCTGGGGAGGAGTCTGTTGGCTGGAAGATGGTCCTTCCTGAGATGAGTATGGCGCAGACATGTGGATGGCGATATCTTCCTGATCATCAAAAAACAGGGGGGACCCTGTAGGGGACGTGTGAGTCTGTCCCCTACTACTGCTGCCTACCTCACGGTGTGAACGGCGGTGTGATTGGTCCCGGCCCTGGGGGATAAGATGGCCATGACCATGTCTCTGTAAGCTACTCACAGTCATTGCGTGAATGTCATCCAACTGCGGTATGGTGGGATATGATATGCTCAAGACTTCTAGTGCATCATGTATAGCAAGCATATCAGACGCCTGCATTAGTCAACAATCAGCCATTTTAATAATTAAAGAAACTATAAATTGGAGGAAAAGAAAAAATGACAAAAAACTCACATATCCACTGATGTCTTCAAAAGCTGGGTGGTAATGCGTTGAGGGTGGGGTGTAGTTAGGGTTGATGAAGCGTCGGGTAATGCTCCTGTACCATACCATGTATGGATCGTGATACTCCATCAGGCCTTGGACAAGCGCACCATCCGCGACGTGCTGCAGCCGCTGGTCCCACATGTCAATGTAAGGGGCATGCTGAACTGCCCAGTTAACCTCCCCCTTTCCTCGTCGGTCTGTCCTGTGCAACTGGACACTCGTGTCACACGGGGCTGGGATGGATTGACAAAGGCCGAACTATCGCATGACTCTGTCGGGGAGGTGAGCCTCCACCAACTCAAAACAGATGAGCACTGTCATGGCACGCCACTCCATCTGGTGATCAAGAAGATATTGGGGCATGGCATCGACTAAGTGAGGGACGTATGGATCCCACGTCATCTGCATTAACAAGCAGTCGTTAACATCATAATTAACTTATTAAAATAATGAACACGGTGTTAAATTAGTTTTTAAAGTGAACTATAACCTGAGACTCGCTCAGTCTGTCGAATGCATCTCTATAATACGGCAGACCCCTTTCTGCATGCACACGAGTAAGTCTCCGCCCTAGCCACCTGATTACATGTATAATAACAGTGTTCATGACAAAATTAATAGAAAATTAAAACCATATGTGGATAACTTAACAATAAGTCATACATACCGGCAACCGTATGCTAAGTCCGGTGGTGGGTGTGGCGGCGCCTCATATGCATGCTCCTGATCGTCTTCCTCCTCCTCCTCGCGTCGACGCCTAGCAGGCATAGCTGGCCTACCAACGTGGATGTGCTCCCAAGCCCATAACTGTAATAAAAAAAACAAAAGTTTAGTCTAGCCAATGTTTAGTACGTAATAGGTAGAAAATGGTATGAAAGTACAAGACTACCTGAAGCACAATCAAGGGACCGCTGATCTCTCATCTACTACGCTGGGATGCTCTGCAAAGATGTCGATATAAGGTTGCCAGACACGCACTACCCCAGCTGTAGTCACGTATACCCTCCCAGTTGTTCTCTAACAGCTGTAGGTAGATCAACTGTATGTGACTACCACTCTTGTTACTGAATAATGATCCTATCAACATGAACATGTACGCTCGAGCGTATCTTTGGACGACCCCATCATCAGCATCAGGAGGCAACACCCCAAATGTCTCTCGTAACCATATGTGTCTTAACCCTGTGCCTCTAACATCGGTCGCCTCAGGCCTCACCCCTAACACCCTCTCAACAAGGCCACGAGGGTCCTGTATAATCGGTCCTGTAACTGCCCTACCATGCACTGGGAGCCGTGTAAGTATCGCCACATCTCGGAGCGTGACGGTGGCCTCCCCAACTGGTAGATGGAAGGAGTGAGTCTCCGGTCTCCATCTCTCAACGAGCGCAGTAATAAGCGCTCGATCGATCGGTGTGAAGGCCATCCTATGAAATCCGCCGAAACCCACAAAATTGATGTACTGTAGCACACGGGGGTCGACCACCCAATCTACCACCGTGGTGGCAACGTGGTGCCTGCAAACCAAGCAACGTGCTGGATCACCCTGTACAAGAACAAAAAATAAATTGTTTGATCAGTGAACCAAATAAATGCCAAACACAATAAATATTTGGTAGATGAAAACTTACTATCTGCTCCCATATGTCACGGCTCCGATGGGTATCCTGAAGTGTCAGTACTGAAGGGTCAGCTGGTCCAGGGTCATGTCGTGTCTGCCCCTGATCCTGTCCCTCCATGATCTCTGTTCAGCGTACAATGTAAAACAAAAAGTCAGCTACATCCTACTTGAACACATACACACAACATGGTATAAAAATAATACATAAACTAACACCACTACCGGTCACCGTCCGTTCGAAAAGGGCAAGATCTCTTATTGTGTCCTTCCTGACGGCAACGACTACATTTGCTTGGTGGACGGTTTGTCTCATCCATTTCATTTCGTATACGCTTCGACGGTGGGCGACCGTGTCCTCGGACCATGATCTCATCAGGAATGATTTTAGGCCCTCTGTATGACCTCCACGTCGTCTCACAAGGAATAGGCCAGAATTGTGGGGCATAAGTATTTGCATACGCCTCTGATCGTAGGAAACTGTCCACCCACGGTTCCTCAGAAACTGAATACTTAAGACACACGGCTAGAACATGAGAACATGGTAGGTGAAATATCATCGGTTTGTTGCATGTACATGTTCTTAAATTAAAGTTAACGGTATGCTTATGACCCCCTTTTCTCCCTATCCTTTCTCCTCGGTGTGTTTTTACTTGGTATATACCAAGCTGACGGCTATAAACATCCACTGTATGGTATTTTGCCTTTCTATTATTCTTCTCCAAAATGGCGGTGACCTTAGGTGAGTATGCATATCCGTGAGCACGCCTAGCAAGTGAACTATCTCTGCTTCTGTTAAAGTACTTGTTAACTCTGTGGAAAGTTAACTCGACAAGGGACATGATTGGCAGAAAATGAGCTCCCTTCAACACATTGTTAAAAGTTTCTGAGAAATTTGTAGTACATATACCATGCCTCCGACCAGCGTCATGAAACAAGGACCATCTGTGAAATGGCACATCCGTGATGTACTCTAGGGACTTAACACAAGCTTTGCCGATAGAACGCATATCTTCAACCAATTTTTTTTCTTGGTGTTGGTATGCAGCAGCCTTGAACCTGTCTCTCATGTCGTTGTTTTTCACATGGGTCCTCAAGTTAGAGGCCATGTGTCGAACGCAAAACCTGTGAAAGGCCCGTGGCTCATGAAATCCAACATCCGGGTTAGTCATCGCAGCAATAATCCCCGCATGTCGGTCAGATATAACACATAGGCCCTCTCGATCAGTAACATGAACCCGAATGCAGCTTAGAAACCAGGACCAACTCGAGGTGTTTTCCCCTTCAACTATTGCAAATGCTAAAGGAAATACCTGAAAATTAGCATCAACACTTGTAGCAACCAAAAGTGTTCCTTTATATTTCCCATACAAGTGTGTCCCATCAATAGATAACAGAGGCATGCAGTGTTTGAACCCATCGATGGAAGGCTTGAAGGCCCAAAACACTCGTTCAAATACCTCCATGTTGCTGTAATAAACGCCTTCAGCAATAGCTTTGTATTTCCACAGAACTACAGTGCCTGGGTTCGACTCCTGGAGGGCTTGCATGAATGAAGGAAGTCTGTTGTATGAACTCTCCCAATCCCCAAAAATTTCCGCAATCGCTTTCTGTTTGGCATACCACGCTCTTCGATATGGAACATCGAATTGAAATTTGTTGGAGATGATATGTTGTATGAACTCAACTCTCAAACATGGATCTTTCTGCACAAACGACTTCACATAGTCGCAGATAACAGAGGAGTCCAAGTGTCGATGATCTCTGGGCGAAACTTCATTAACACAATTGTCGCGATGTGGGCCCTTGTAAGATACGATCTTAAAGGCACGTGTGGTTAGATTTGTTTTTGTACCACGTAGCGACCAACCACACCCCCTCTTGCACTTTAAATGAAGGACATTCTCATTCGACGTCACTGTGGTGTAGAAATGATTTCGCTCTATGGAATACAATTTCACCATTTCCTGTAGCGCTTTCTTATTGTCAAAAATCATGCCCTTCTCAAATTCTCCCCCGACACGAAACGAACACTGGCTCCCCGAATCACCCCAATGTATGTCCACCTCATAGTTCTCGTTTATTTGACTGAACCAAGGTAATGGAGTTCTAGCAACAACATCATCCACAGACAAATCGTTGTTTATAACATCTTCTTCATATCCGTCTTCACCATCGTCGTTTGTGTTATTATACATATCAAGAACAGACAACCCGTTGTTTACAACAAGTTCAGCATTCACCAAAGTCTGAAACGGTGGTGTTTCAATAGGTTCTTGCGTGGGAGAGTAACTTTGCAACTGCATCGATGATGAAATGTCATTGTTTGAGGTAGATGGACCAGGCTACTGCATTGACCCCGACGCCGTAAATTGTGAACTGAATGGAATGTCAAATTGATCGTCGTGTAACATTCTACTGAAAGAACCCATTCCATATTCAGATGATGGAATGTTATATGCGGGCATTTGTAGAGAGCTTGCATTGTATGATGGAAGAAATGTTGGTTGTTGAGTACATACAGGCACCGTTTCCACATACAAATCAGTAGGAAGAGACCTCATTGCAACGACACCCCTCAAAACCTCCAAATGGTCGTCATTCAAAACAGGTAAGATTTGAATCCCGCTAACACTTTCAAACCTCATTTTGATGTTCACTTCAACACTTGTTGGCTTTGAACCAATTATAGTATAAACTTTCTTCAACAAATCATTGTAAGTCATGCAAGGTTTCAATGCTAGCGGTTCCATTTTTCCTCCTCTATACTCGACATTGGGTCCGACACACAAAATTTCACCCCCCCAACGGCATAACAAAACAATCAATTGTGAAGCCATGTTCTACATAACATCAGACCACATATTAGGTGACACATATGCACAACTAAAACCACAATGATTCCAATAAATCCCCAAGCAAAGCGTACATACAACGCAGTGTTCAACAACATACTAACTTACCTACTTAATCTAACAATGTAAGATACATTTAAATGTACTTAACTCAACAATTTAGTTCGTAATTCCCTAAATGCTTCATATATGTAGTTCAACAACTAAATGATTCATATAAATTATACGAAATTATACAACATACATATAACTATACTTAATTTCAATAATTAAACAACAATGTATTATGTAGTTATACATATTTCGCATACTTGAACAACACTATAGTACATACATTGTAAATTACAAACATAAATTCCCAAAAAACATCATACACAAGTAAAATAGTTAAATTCAAGACATACCTCAATTTCGATGAAAGTAGGGCGTAACAGTGTTGAACAAAGAAGGAGGATTAATTTTTATTGACTATGATGCAAAACTAAGCTACGGAATGTGATGAAATTGCTTCAAATATGGAGAATTGGAAGTTGGTATGCGCGGGGTTAGGGTTTGCAATTTGGGGGTTTGGTTGAATAATGAAGAACAGCGATATATGCTGTTAGAAATACCCGACTCTAAAACGCCAACGACGTTAGCGCTTTTGTGTTAAAAGTAGCGTTTTTGTGTAAATGTTTTTTTTTTAAAAAATTTGCCCAGCAGTAAAACGCCACCCTTGATGGCGTTTTACCTTTGACTAAAAATTAAAAAAAAAAATTGCCCAGGGTAAAACGCCACCCTGGTTGGCGTTTTATCCTGAAAGCTTAGTTTGGTAAATAGTTTTGCCACGCGTCTTGTTTGGGAAATTGTTTTCCAAAAACGCTCAGTTTGGCAATTTTTCCGATGTATTGCTATAAATTTTATTTATACTACAACTCTCTGTATAAGGTATATATAGGTATAGGCTCATTGTGCTTCACTTCACTACTATAATACATTTGGTAATTACCTACATACCTTGAATCCAATTCAAAAGCACTTCCAATATGATAGAGCAATCTTTCACCAAAAAAAGTTCATTAAAAGTTTGACTCGTGCATCGCACGAGATAAATACTAATGATCAATAATAACAAAAAAAACATAGCGTATGAATAATATAAAAATCAAAATGCTGCAGTTAAAATTTAAATGAAGAAGTATAAAATTTGACAATTTATTCACATTATGAAAGACTTAACCTACATTTCAAACCACCCCCCTCCCCCCAATACCGTTAAATAGTGAGGTGACAAAATCACCTAATAATATGTCTTATATGACCCACCCAAGACCGTGGTGTCCTTTGCTTTACATTGCTTGGTCCTTTTTAATTCTCTGAAATAAAATGAAAACTAATGCAATAAACAACATGACTTGCTAACAACTCCACTATTTTATTTTCGTACCTCTTATCTCGCTAGTTCTTGTACTCATTATTCATTTACTTGAAAGAACAAGAACTCTCCTGCTATAAATAAAAACGTACAACATCCTCTAATCTAAGCAAAAGCATTATTCTATACTAAAAAATGGCTAAGTCCCTACACTATCTCATTCTTCTGTCTCTCCTGGCCATAGTTCCTTCATGTTTCTGTGAAAAAAGCCAAGGGGGTTATCTCTACCCACAATTCTATGATCACTCATGTCCCAAAGTCGAAGACATTGTTTGGTCTGTAGTGGCAAAGGCGGTCGCTAAAGAACCTAGGATGGCAGCCTCTTTGCTTAGGCTCCATTTCCATGATTGTTTTGTCAAGGTCTTGACCTGAAACAAATGATAATATTACTATATATGCTTATATTATTTCAGATAATGTTCTCATCTTTGTACTTTTTTAATGGGTTTATACTGATGATTTACTACAGGGTTGTGATGGTGGTGTGCTGCTGGACAGCAGTGGTAGCATAATAAGCGAGAAGAGGTCGAACCCAAACCGTAACTCAGCTCGAGGGTTCGAGGTCATTGATGAGATCAAGGCAGCTGTGGAGAAAGCATGCCCTGAGACTGTGTCCTGTGCTGATATCTTGGCTATAACAGCCAGAGACGCTACTCTTCTTGTAAGTTTGGCATGTAAATCTTAAGGTTATTTAATCATATTACGTACATATTATTATGTAAATCATTATAGTTAATAATGGTTCATATATTCTGCAGGCTGGAGGACCAAACTGGGAAGTACCACTAGGAAGAAGGGATTCTCTAGATGCTAGCTTAAGTGGTTCAAACTACAACATTCCAGCTCCTAACAACACCTTTCAAACCATTCTTACCAAGTTCAAGCTTAAGGGACTCGATCTAGTCGACCTTGTCGCGCTCTCAGGTATGCTGATCACTTCTTTTTTCTAGCCCTTTGATTATTAGCTCTGTCTGGAATAAAAAAAAGGTGACATTGATATGAAATCAAATTCTAATCTTGCCTAAGAAAAAGAGATTCCTTCTTTAAGAAAAGTAGTCCTATGATGAACTGTGCTGCTAATAGAGAAATGATTGTCCTTTGAGGGGCTTAGAAGTTAGAATGTTCATATTATTGTACATAAAAGTGTAAAAGCCAATGCAAAGTGTTGTGCACAAAGAAAAGTCTGAATTCCTCTACTATTTTATGGTGAACAAGAAGCTAATTGACCAAAATGCCCATAGATAACTTTACCAAAAATTTGAATGGGGCTAGTGGCAGGATAGAAATTAAAGCATTTTTTAAACTCAACTACGTCATTCACTCCATATTAGATATCTAATGGTTTCATAGTTAGTTGATTCTGTGTACTAACATGTAATGGGGAAATGGAGACAGAGCAGTAGTGTGTTGTTCATTTCCGAAACCTGAGGTTAGGGGTTCGAGTCTTATAATTAGCAGGGTATAAGTTTCTTATTACCTCCCTAGCTGTCCCTTCTAGTCCCATCTTTCCAACATTTCAAAAGGAAAAAAAACGATTAGGATAATGAAAACAATTACTAAGCCAATCATGTACTTCGTATATTTCATTATTTAAGTTGTAAATGTTAGAGACCGAGGTTTACAGTGAATTAATCTTTTTTTTTTTTTTTTTTTTTTTTTTTTTTTTTTTTTTTTTTTTTTTTTTTTTATGCAGGGAGTCACACAATTGGGGATGCAAGGTGTACTAGCTTCAGGCAAAGGCTATACAACCAGAGTGGAAATGGGCAACCTGACAACACTTTGAACCAAGCATATGCAGCCGAGTTGCGCACCCGTTGCCCACAGTCTGGTGGTGATCAGAACTTGTTTAAATTAGACTATGTAACCCCTTTCAAGTTTGACAACAGCTACTACAAGAACTTACTGGCTTACAAGGGCCTACTCAGTTCTGATCAAATTCTTCTTACCAAAAACCAAGATTCTATGAAACTAGTGAAGCAATATGCTGAGAACAATGAGCTTTTCTTCCAGCATTTTGCTCAGTCCATGGTTAAGATGGGAAACATTGCTCCATTGACTGGTTCAAGGGGTGAAATCAGAAGAATCTGCAGAAGAGTCAATCACTAAAGTTTGGCATAATTCATGTATGTGTGTGAATTCCAGTATTTTTTTGGGAGGAAGGGGAGCTATTAAAGTATTTATCTTATGTTATTTTTTAAGGTTGAAATCATTGGGAAAATGTGAAAAGTGTTTGTGATAGCAGTATGCATGTTATTTTGTGCCTAGTGAGAGTTATTTGTGCCCTCATTGTTTGGCAGAAACTTTTGTATCTTCTTTTGCAATTAAATTAAATTGTTCTGAGGGTAATTTTGTGGCATCATCCTCAATTATATTCTTCTCCCTTTGGAGGAAAAAAAAAAAGGCAAGAAAACAGCAAGTTGGCAACCATTGAACTAGGACACCTAAATCATTCAATTCTCTATATCTTCCCCTGATGGACAAAATCTGAGAATGGTTTATCAGAAAGATCAATGATATAAACCTACTTAGTAGATTAAAAAAACCACTGGAGTCAAAAGATGAATTAAGAGAAAACAAATATGAAGCATCAAGAGTTGAAATCACTAATTCTTAGTCTGAACATTCCTGAAAGACAATTCACAGAAAGGCCTCAAAATCATTAAAACACAAGCATGATGTATCTCAGGCATCCCAAACTTAATTAGCAGAAAAATAACACAAAGACAGGAAGTCATACAGATGTAAACATACCATTCTAATAAGAAGATAGAGTTTTAAGGTGAAAACATGTAAAAATAACCTGATGTACCATATAACAAGTCTCGAGTAGCAATGTGAACTTGTTTCAGAGGTAGAATGCTATGTTAAATTAAGCCACTAATCATTGACCCACAGTGAAACCTTTTCACTTGTGCCTTAGTGTACGAGAGTATCTCATTCAAATCCTTTCCCTCTGCCATCCTCACTTCCAGCTCTTCATTTGCAGAAGCAATCTTCTCTTGACGTTTGCATATTTCTTCTTCATACTCTTTGATTTCTCTCTTATAGGCTTTGATCTCTTCCTCCTTCCTCTTAGTTAGATGATGATTCTGGCTCTTAGCTTGCTTAACTTTAGAGGATTCTTTAAGAAGCCTTTTGGCCTCATAAATTTCATCAAGCCGCTGATGAAGCCACCCAACCTCCACATTATCCGATTCTATGTCTTGAACAAAGACCCGAAAACTGTCAACTTCAACTGCTGTGAGATGCACAAACTCTACAGTTCGTAGTTTCTCAACTATGTCGCATACACTCTCAACCAACCAAGAGCGGTGCAAAACAGACTTCTTGACACATTGTGCAGCAATATCGCCATACTTAGATAGTACATCTCTGAGAATGGGCGCCAGATTTTCCTTCACCCTATAATTACCAACTGTCACTAGAGGATCACTTAAAACAGAATCAAAGCTGGAACAATCATCATCCATTGCAGCCATGTCTGAAAGATTAAGACTTGTTGCTTGCCTTGCATTACTATCTGCTTCACTTGGACTGTTAGGTACTTCCTCAATAGGGGGCATAATAGCCTCCCGCAATGGTGTGTGCTCATTGAACATAGGATTACCATTGACAGCTTTGGGGACAGAAGAAAGAGGAGGCGATGATTGGATACATTCTGATCCTTCTCCAAGTTGGGTGGAAAGAGCTTGAAATACAGGATCATGCAGACTCAGAGACAGTGGAGTTCCTGCACAGAAAGTATCAGCTACCCCATCATCACTACTTTCTTTTTTGATAGCGCCAATTGCAGCTGTTGATTTATTGCGCCTACAAGGAACATGTCTGACACGTCGAACTGGATATCTTCCTGAGGTAGCCAGAGAGCAAGCCCTAACCATCGCGAGCTCCTAACAACAGAAGGCCACATTTAACATAAGTTTGTACAAAAACACATCCCACACAATTAAAAATGAGCATAAAACGCCTCGGCCTTATCTGAATAGAGAGAGGAATAGGCAACTGATGATGCCAAAATAATGTGGATATTGCAAGGCGGGTATGAAGTCTTGCCTGTGATGGTGGATTTTCAACCTCGGGTTCAGGGGTGGTTGTTGGACATGAGGACACTGCTTTGCTTTGTGATTTCAGAGTGCTACAAGGAGTCAATTCAGAAGGTGTAACGGCTGGACTTTGTGAAGCAGACACCTTTAACACGAAGTCAGCAAGCTTCTCACACGTTTCAATCCTCTTAGCGACCCTTGAATGGCTAGTGTGCTGAGTTTGCAATCAACATGACATTTGACTCAATCAGATATACAGAAGCTCTCATCCAAGGAGCAAATAGACAGAATAAGAAGGGGAATCAAGGAGCAAGGCATGCTTACAGTATAAGATCAGAATAAGGAAAATCAAGTTGGAAAAGGGTGAAGGGGAATATGGCTAGGCAGAACAGCACATATGGCCGCACCACACGGATCCGTGATGAACTAATTAACAGAAATGCATTTTACTTTATGTAGTTTAGCCAAGTTTTGCTCAACATACTACATTGTTACGGATAACATAGTAGATAGCTTTGACAAGTGTAGTTTAGGAGTAAAAGATTCATGATTGACAAAGGCAAATTTTCCTCTATTGATGGGTGCGGCCTAGACCCATTTGATGATTGCCTAAGATACAACCTTGGGCCATTCTAACAACACAGTCACAGACTGCCAGTCAATGTGTACAGGTCTAAGTAAAATTCAAGCCAACTAATTATGATAAGAATTTAAAGTAATCATCTTGTTTTTTTATTATTTAATTTAATGTTTTATTACAACCCAGGGCCATATTGGACCTTGATTAGTGCTTGCAGACGTTCAGATTTTCAGAAACTCTCAAATCTTTCCACAAAAACAAAGGAAAGAATAAATCTTCATAAATGGGTTTACAAAACCTAGAAAATCAATAACAGAATACAGAACACAAAAGACCAAAAAAAAAAAAAAAAAACCATTGCAAAAATAAACGCAGTTTTTTTTTTCTTTTCTTAAACATAACATAAATACTACAGGCAGCATGATGAAGTAACAAAAATGGCACCTTTATGAAGACAAAATATGCAATATTCCAAATAAAGAAAGAGAGAGAAAAAGGAAGAACCTGGGAGTACGAGGAAGAGGGGTTTGAAGAGAAACCAGGAAGAGTGATGCATAAAGTGGGTTGTTGATCATTAGCAGCTGCTGCTGTTGCTGCTTCTTGCTGTTCAAATTTTCGCTTATTTCCTCTTGTCATCACCATTTTTAGTACTTTGAATTTTACATAATAATGTGGAAGGTATTCTTGAATGAACCCATTATTATTGTGTGAAGCGCTAATATAAGCGTTAGTGAGTGTGGTTGTCTGTAGGAGTGAGAGAGAGTGTGAGTCAGTGAGTTAAGATGCTGCCACCTGTCATGTGGAGAGTGGAGATCAAACCCAACGTTCTTATAATCTTCCTGAGACCCTTGGAAGTTTGGAGTACTCATTTTGGCATAAACATTAATATAGGGAGAGGATTAATTTTAAATTTTGGGACTTCCTTTTTTTTCCTAAAGAAGAATGGTAATATTGTATGGGACTATGGGGGGAACTAGTCATATGCAATTCCTTTTACATGCTACTCCCAGGTTTTTTTCTTTATTTTTATACTCGTATGTTGCACACTTATCTTATTCGTGAATAATGTATACCCTCCATCTCATAATATATTAGTATGAAGTATGATACATATTTTTCGTCGACATTTTTTAATATTTATATCTTTAATTTCGCAATAAAAATTTACTACATATAAAAAGTTTATACCCTACTATGAAATTATATGGTAAGATAAATTAAAAGCCAAACTGAATTTAAAAATTTAAAAATAACAAAAAAATTGGAAGCTTAGGCTTCAGCCTTCAGCCACAGGGTTCTTATAAAATAAGAAGCTTTTGTCATGCCTGATTAATCTGTACTCCGTACTACGAGTAACATTCTTAGTTAAGCTAACCACTAGTGATAAAATTGGAAGCTTTTACCATGGTGCTGTAAACTGTAAAGTCCTTTCTCAGTATGACTTAAATGGTTTGTTCTGCTATAAAGGTAGAAGACTATAAGGGTGCCGTAATAGCAGTGTAAACCATCAAGTCTGAGCATCAACAGCTGGAAAAAGGTGCCTTAATTCTCGAGAAGTCAAGATGAACCAAACAAGAAGCTAAGAAAGAACAAATTTTGGATAAATGATATTCATAATAGGATCTGTCCATAAGCAAATACACATAGTGTACCTCAAATTGATATTTGTAACTCATAAGACTAGTAAATTTTAACAACTCAATTTGTTCTCAAGAAATAATTTCGAGCTCTAAATCACAAACCAACAAAAGTTGCGCCTTACATGAACAGATTAGGCCTTGATGCTTTGTACGTTGTCTTGAGCTTCCTGTTTGGTGGTCTAACCTTCTTGTAAACCAGTGGAAATTTAATATCCTTGCTGTGGAACTGTTTGGTGTTCTCCCTCTTACAAAGTTCATCAGGAACAGTTGCTGTCTTGATAATCTGGATGCATGGGGCCCTGACTCTGTGGCGAGAAGCCATCTCAGTGTACATTTGTTCAACAGCACCATTCAATGTGGTGTCACGGAATTCCTTGTACATGTTGTGGTAGCCAGTTCTACTCTGGTATCGCAACCATATTCCATAGTTCTTGATAACAGTAGGATTCTTCTCATAGATCTGTGGGCAGATCAATATTGAGCGATAAATAATAAATCCAATCTCTAACATTAAGGCAACACCACTACGATGGACAAAAACTCAAAATTTTGTTCTCTACAAGTAGTGACATCAGAATTCTAAGCCAAAGCAATAAATGATAGTGTCCGGAAAACACTAATTATGGAAGAAACAGGAGTTTTGTTTGGGAGGTGAGGCCTATCACTATCTCTCATCTATTTCTATTCACAGCAACCATCTCTTCCTTTTCAGTGCAATCACAAGCAGAAGGAAAAAAAAAAAAGCATACTCTAGCCAAGTCTAAGGGTTCTTCCACTAATATAACCTTTGAAACAACTGCGTGATTAGTGTCGTCCTCACTCTCAACTCCCCTGTTTAAACTATCACTCCTCTTTCTTGTTCTTACAAATATAGATTAAATCACTCTTTCAATTCTGCCCAATTACGGAGATAGATGGAAATCACAAAAAAACATACTTTAGCCCAGTCCAAGACTCCAAGGCTGCTTCTACAATAATTAACCTTTGAATTAAAGGCCCCTCTCACTCTGACTAGCACTCTTAACCTCTTTGTTCATTCTAAATGAGAATTACTATGTACCATTGTAATACTTCTTATAAAATTTGACAAATAAACATACCATTTCAGCAGCGACAATGAATCATTTTTAATAGTGTGCAGAGATCAAAATTTTCAAAACTACACTTCAATTTACAATGGGTTCGCCGTAATCTATAACTACCAGGATGTAGGAGAGGTACCTAGGATATATATAGTACACAAGATAAAAGCCAAACAGGAAATTACTTTACAACAACCTAACAAAAATGATGTCATAATTGAAATAAATAAATTCAAGATGGCTTTTTGGATTATTTCACAATATGAACACAAAGCAATTTGTTCACCAGGTAATATTAGAATCAAATGTCATAAAAACAATTACTTGGAAATAGAAAGAGTAAAGCATAAGATTAACATACCTCGTTAATGGCAAGAATCTGACCATTGCTTTTCTTCACCTTCTTCAATTTCCTCAGAAAATACCTGCAAAAAAAACCCAAAATCAAATGCTTTTTCTCAATTGAAATTACAATCAAATCAAAGTTCGAAAAGAGTAGAAAAAGGTACCAAAATTTGGACTTGGCTCGAACTTCATTGGTAGCCCAGAGCTTCATGCGATAGATCTTGGGATGTTCATCGGATTCAGTGGGCAAGCCTCTTCCCACAACTTGGTACTGATGAAACTGTTACACATTCAAAATTTATTATGGATTAAAATAAATTCATGAATTGATTGATAATTGTTGCAGAAAAACAGATGAATTAAACGATGTAGCATGATTGAAATCAAACCCTAAAATAACCCATTTTCGATCGATTCTTCTTCTGATTTCTCACTTTGCTGTATCTGAAACGATGATAAATAGGGGTTGGAGGAAGAATGTGTAGGGTTTTTAGTTTCTAATGTACTCACCTGAGTTGTGTCATTCAGGCTTACAAATTTGCAAGCTGGCATACCATCAGCCCAAAACTTAGGCCCTGCTCAACATTAGTCATTTTTTGGTTTTTTTTTTTTTTTCCTTTCCTTATAATCCTTCTCTCTTGTTCACATTACCTTATTTTTGATAAACTGAAATTATTTTTACATTGAAATTATTTTGGTGAATTTAATTTTTTTTAATGATTATCTATTATTGTATGTTTAAATATTTCTTCTTTAAAATTACTGATTTTTACTGAATATATATTTACTAAACTAATAGTATTACAGTAATTTTTTAAGGTAAACTAAACAAGACTTTAGTCCCTATTTAAACCATACTATGAAGACTACCCGCGCTCTTATTTAACCCTTCTATGATGACCACCTACTCCCGATTAACCTCATTTATGATGACTCATTCTCATATTTACCTCATACCCATAGTAAAGGTGTCCCTAGATACTATTTAGACCCTATTATGATTATTTTGCCTTCAGAGTAGGGGGTTATAGCATCAGTACTGATCATAATAGCATGGGTTATCATAGTTTGGCTTAAATAAACCTCACTGTAACCCCTGAAACTATTTAACCCTATTATGATGACCGCTGCTCCAATTTAACCCTTGTTACGATAGTAGGGGTTATAAGAACAATAAGAGTTATCAAGGTAGAGGTTAAATAAACCCCTAATGTTATAGCCCTACTACTATTTTACCCTGCTTTTATAATCCTATCATGATGACCCTTGCTCTTATTTAAACCCTTCTATGATGACTCCTGCTCAAATTTAACCCTTACTAGGATGACCTTTTGCTCATATTTAACCTTTGTTATGAAAGTCTTTTCTATAATAAAGGCCTAACGGGGCGTTTAGAATGTGGGAATGTGAGTTTGGGGATTAAAAGGTAGAAATGTGATTGGGAATTGATTGGTGGGAATACATAAAAATATGTCAATACCGTGTTTGGATAGCGAGTGGGAATAAATAGGAAATAATAACAATTTTACAAAAATACCCTTACTAACATTTCTTTTTTATTCTTTTCATTAATGGCAAAAATGTCATTTTTTACTTATTCTCATTCCATTCATATATTACCTACCCTCCCTATGTAATAAAATGATGAGAATTCACCCCCAAATATTTCCATTTCCAACCCTCTTTATATCTCGTCAAACAAATAAAGCTTTTTTCTTCAATTGGGATTAAAACTCCCAATCTCATTCTCAATTCCCACGTACCAAACATCCCCTAATAGTCTTGAATATTACGGAAAAGTTCAAAGCAATAAGCAATCAGATGGAGTTTGGAGCTTTGGACTAGCCAGGGTTGCCCCAATGAGCACGTTGACACAACTCACACAAGCAAAAGATCCATTACACCGTATTCTTAACTCCAGTTGAACAACATTAGTAAGGTGGAGCCCTGGAGGGACAAAGCGAGTACGGAAGTGAAAAGAAGAGTTCGCCGGATAATCAGTTTCCGGCGGCGTTAATGGCGGTAAAATGGGAGTGGGAGAATGCCACCGCCGGAGCCGTCGCTGGCTTCGCCACTGTGGCAATCATGCACCCCCTTGACGTCGTTCGCACCCGCTTCCAAGGTCAAACCAAAATCAATCAATTTCGTCTAATTCTCAGAATACCATCTTTTATTCTCTGGGAATTTATTTATATCTTTATTTGTTGGAATAATACAGTGAATGATGGACGAATATCGAATCTCCCAAGCTACAAGAACACTCCCAATGCTATCTTCACCATCGCCCGTTCTGAGGTGTCTTCAAAATTCCAATGCTTTATTTTGTTGCTTTTCAAACCCTAGTTTATTGCTCTCTATTTACAATTCAATATCTATCTTTAGCCAATTCTATGCAACATGTTTGTATCATTGTATGTTATTCAATTAACTACTTGTGTATATTTATGGTCTTTTATGCCAATGTATGACTTTGTAAAATGCCTAATACATTCATTGAAATTATAATTTTATTTATAATGACATATATATAAATAGTACTGGGTGCATATTTTAAGTCAATTTAGTTTATTAAGCTGTTATCAGTCGAAAATTACAACTTTAATCTTTAAATTTTGATTTGAGATGGTCAATCCTAGCTGAAAGGTCTTTACAAGTTTCCATGTAATTGTGTGATCAATGAACCATACTATTTAATACTTTCAGCATGAAGAAATTAAGTTATATCTTGCTGAGATGCTATTTGTAGATCCATTCTAGTACAATTCTGCTTGCTCAACATTTTGTTTTAAACTTGTTTTCCAGGGTTCGAGGGGGCTTTATGCTGGCTTCACCCCAGCTGTTATAGGATCATCTATTTCATGGGGCCTGTTTTTCTTCTTGTAAGTTAAATTCTCTCAAGTCTGAAATTTTATCTGCCTATTTTTAAGCTGTATTATCTGAATTGGAAAGGAAATGCTATTTTCTGCAGCTATAGCAGAGCTAAAAAAAGGTATTCTCGTGACGAGGAGGATAAGCTGAGTCCTGGACACCATTTGGCGGCAGCTGCAGAGGCTGGTGCACTGGTCAGTTTTTTGAAACAGCAATGCTATAGTTTAAATGTCTTAAGGGGGAAGCTAGAGAAGATATAATGGTGTTAGAGGGGTTTTGATAATTAATAGTAAATTATGAAAAACAAAATAGTGGATGTGGATCCCTCCCGAAATGATAAATTGGACAAAAAATTTGGGAGAAATGGGGCTTTTATATAGGGATGGAGGGAGTGTGTATGAAGCTTAAGTTTGGACATAAGTCACCCTGAATTTTCATTCTGTCAGGCTTGTTATCTCAATGAGTACTTTAATTATTTCACTATTCAATTGATTTTGTCAATGCTCAGAGGAAACAAAGTAGGAGTTTACACGAGTTTGTATTAGAGATGTCCAATCAAATTGTGAGTAACATTTTAGGATACTACGATGTCCCCACTTACATTTTTAAGTTCCTTCAAATTTGGCCACAGTGCTACTAGAACGGGCTTCTTTCTCGCTTTGGAGATGTAAGAAACATGCTTTCATCTTTTCGTTTTCATGTTGTTTGTTAGAACTGATTCTAACTAGTACATGTATGAACTATTTACAGGTATCATTTTTCACAAATCCTGTGTGGGTCATTAAAACAAGATTACAGCTACAGAATCCTCTTCATCAAACCCGCCAATATTCTGGTGTTTATGGTTGGCTTCACTTCTTAGTTAATTCATGAACTGTATGTTGGATGCTTTTTACTGGTCTTGCTGCTTTTCAAACTCGTAAACTACTAGCGGATGTAATGGAAATATAATTAATTGGGTCAGATTCTATGGTCATTTTAGTGTCTAGGATTTAGTAAAAGTTCACTTTCCAGTAGAAATTTTTCATGAGTTGAAGAGTTCTCTAAGGCTAGTTGGCTACTATTAACAAGAATTCAAACTCATTGTTTATGTAGGACCTGATAGGTTGATACTCATATTACATTATTTTTAGAATGCAGTTTATATAATCCACCCATTTCATGTATATTGTTATGCAATATTTTATTTAAAATCTGAACTAGGTACCAAAACCTTTTGAAGTTAACATGAGGGATAGGTTTACATTTTATGGGGAGTTGGTTCTTACTTCTCAAGTGTGATCATAAAAGGTTTTACCATCCTAGTGGTTGAATTTTACTCCTGTGTTTGTGTGTAGGGAGGAGGGGACTTGGGAAGAAGTGGCACCTCATTCTATGTTGTACTTATTTTAGGATGTCCCACTAGCTGTCAAAGTTTTCAAGCTACACCAATGACTATTTTTTCATAGTATATGTTGTGACTTTAACCTGATTCTTTTATCTAGTGCTGTTCAAAAGACCTCTTTTTATCAATAGAATGAGGAGTTTTTGATTGTTTTTTTTTTTTTTTTTTGGGTGTCCACTTCAGATGCTCTGAGAACCATAACAAAAGAGGAAGGGTGGACTGCACTCTATAGAGGAATTTGGCCAAGTCTTTTGCTGGTTAGATTTTACTCACCTATACTCTGCTGTCCTCTCTCTTGCCCAATTCATTTAGTAACCATCAATAGTTTAGCCCATTCTATTATTAAGCTCGCTGGATGCTTTGCTGGAGTTGTCTTTGTGCATATGATTGCTCTGTTAATGAAGTAGTATTAGCTTGGTCATGGAAATTAGACTTGAAAAAGTGCCTTCTGTCTAGCTTGTTGATCTTCTGATGGATCAAGTTGGTCCATGCTTCAATATCTTGGGTAAACAAAGTATGTTGTGATGTAATAGTTACATTAGAAAGCAAGTCAGTGAAAGATTTTGTCAGCTTGCTACATCTGAATTGCATTGAACAATTTTCACCCATTGTAGTAATCTTGAGTGGCTTTTGGTCATTATCTTGATAACAGAATTGTGGATCGTTCCAGTGTGGATTGCATGTTGCTTCTGAGCACTGACTGTGGAAATTTGGGAACATTTTCATGTCTGTTTATCTAGTGAAACTGTTAAGAAAACAGAGGGCTTGGTTTTCTGGTCTTTTCAACTTCTTTTCCCTGGTTAACTGAGTATCGAGTGTTGTCATTCTACTTGATATTTAGGGTATAACTCTGGTATGCTTACTAGTTGAATACTGCTTCAGCAGGTCTCTCATGGTGCCATACAGTTCACTGCGTATGAGGAATTGCGTAAACTTCTTGTTGATTTTAAGTCGGAAAAAGCCAAAACTAAAGATGTTGAAGTGCTGGTAGGTTTGCAATTTATGCGCTCTATATGCTGTATCTCTCTGACATAAAGCTCTAATAGCAATTAATCCATTTTGGACTAAAAATAAGATCTTTTTAAAATTCTTTTGCTTAATGTAGAAATTAATGCATCAAAGTGGGTGGGGAGTGGTTTGACATCAATTTTCTTAAACCACAGGGTCCATTACTCCATTTAGTAAATTCTATTAACATTGTGAATTTTAAGCTGATTATCTTATATGTTGCACTCTGAAACAGAACTCCCTAGACTATACCTTTTTGGGAGCTTCTTCTAAAGTTGCAGCCATTCTCTTTACATACCCAGTTCAGGTAAATTTTACTCATAATTATAATGGATCTTTATTTTGCAATATCAATTTTTGGTAATATCTTCTGTACTTCGCAGGTCATTCGATCAAGATTACAGGTAAATGCCTGATTAGGTGAAGGGGGGGGGGGGGTTTGACTGGAATTTTGCTTCCATGATGCTTAAGCTGACCTTTACAACAAGCTGTAGTTCGTTCTCTCATCTGTCTTTGTATAAATTTGTAAATGCAGCAAAGGCCAAATCAAAATGGCGTTCCAAGATATGCAGATAGCTTTCACGTGATCAAAGAAACTGCACGGTGAGAATGAATCACTGCAAAATTTAATACTTCGTATGCTAAGCCTGCAACGTAGTGTTAAGTGATAATGTAATGCCATCTTGATGTCTGACTAATTGCTCTGGCTTTAATAATATTTGCGTTAGAGGGTATTATAATCATCAGTGTCTAATTGGGTGTTGATTCTAGTCTTATTCCTTTCACATAATAGTTTATTAAGTCATATCACGGTTGTCCCCCAATGCAATGCTTTCCCGGGAAAATTTAAAATTATATCAGTGCTCATACACCCTGCATCCTTGCTTGCCTCTCTCTTAGCTAAAAGTATACATTTATGTATCACCATTCACCAATATATACATTAATGTGTGAAGACATCTTTCCCATCTATTAAATAATTTGAGGACAACTTTCCCATGTGTCCTACAATCTGATATTTCTTCCTTTTTTCCCCTATTTATCAAAGTTATGTATACATTATCATCTTTTGCAGGTTTGAAGGTCTTCGTGGTTTCTACAAAGGTATTACAGCTAACTTATTGAAGAATGTGCCTGCATCTGCTGTAACTTTTGTTGTATATGAGAATGTTCTAAAGGTGTTCAATTTGACTAGAAAGAAAGATTAATCCTATATTCTTTCATCTATTTTTTTTCTTGAATTCTCTGCTACCTCTGCTTCTTGATTTTTTTACTAAACCCCCCACCCCCCCACCCCTTTCCTAAGCCCCCTTTCTTTTCTGCACCCATCTTCAACAGGTAGATACAATACTGTGAAAGAACAGGGCATGCCAGTATGAGGAAATTATTGTCACGTTTCTGTTGCTTAATTTATTAATCCTATTGAACTGGTTACCTTGAGGTTATGCTTGTTAGAGTTTCTTGTTCCAACCTTTGTCATGTAAACATCTTTGAATACCTGGATAGTTGGATCACCTTATGGCGTTTGATTTGTCTTTTTATTGTGCACTTGGGCAGTTTCAAGAGAGTGATTTGGTAATTGAAAATGCTATTATACTTCGTATGAAATAGGATTGGGGAGAGTTGAACTACTTAGCAGAGCAAACTTTAGATAGACAAGTAAATCTACATCTGATTTAGAGCGAAAGCTGAAGCATGGCTAAAACAGGCTAAGAATGTACTTGGGCAGAATGTCTAGATTACTGGTTGAAGATAATCTCCAATCCAGCTATTGGAGATTTACTTATACCAAGGACCAACAGTTTGATCCAGAAAAGTGGAAGAGCTTCATTGATCTGAAGAGAGATCTTGTAGGAAGGATAATATCGCATTGGACACGTCCTGTGGTTTTTCCAGTTGTATGTAATGGTGGCCATTGAGAATGGCAACTTGTAAATTAGGAACGAGGCTCTTGAAGATGGGACCTTCAATATATTCCCTTATTCCAAGATTTACAAAACCAATGTCTTTATTGCCGATAATGAACTTGCTTGGAACTGTTATCTTTGCTCCCTGCCAGGCTGCGAGCAGCTCCCAGTTCCTAACACAGTAACACATGATGTAGATAGTGAAACTTAATTCATGCACTGCTTAGTGATCAAGAAAGAGATGAAAGAACTCATAAATATCTCTTAAGGTTTGAAGAAATGTTGATGCAAGTGATATACTGTTCTAGTCTAGAATATTTAATTGAAGTTGGTAAATCTCCAAGAGTTATACACTTACAAGTCCATAGCGCGGTAATAGTTCAAGGGGCCGGTGAAACCTGATTCCTGAAACTTGTCTGCATAAACCTGAAGTTCCTCTTCGGTGATCCATGATGGCAAAACAGACGGAGTCTCTAGATAGTCTATTATTTCCATGCCCTCTGGAGCCACCAGATTGTCTGTTCTGCCTACTAGCAGGTATTTCTTCATAACTGTCAGATAGTCATACCTTGCAAATGCTCTCTCTGCTCGTCCTGTTTCCTACATATTCAGACAACTAATAAGTACCAACTTACTGCTGCGAAATGACTCAAATGAGATAGATCTTTTTTATTATGAGACAGTACCTGAAATTGACACACATAGAAGTCATCTCCAAATATTCTTCGGAAAAAATCAGTAGGTTTGCTGTTAGGGTCTCTGAGGAAATAAGGAACTGAGAGACTAACCACTCCTTTCACTCTATCAGGCCTAAAGAGGCTCAAGTGCCATGCTGCCTCAGCTCCCCAGTCAGTTCCCACTGCAAAAGCCTTCTCCGAAACCACCAAGTTTTGTGAGAAACAAGCTAAGTATAGTTAACCTTTCCAGTCAAGCTATTACTTTATAAAATTAAATACATGTATTAGGCTGATAGCAAATCAGGGATTCTATCTATGTACATCATCTATCCGAAATCAATAATCACATCTTTTCGGATGTCTAATAAACAAGTAATACATCTTTTATGTAAAAGTATTATCATATTCTTTAACAATGAGGGGTAGGGAAAATTAGTTTAATGCTGGATTAGAGAGTAGGTTTTACCTTTGGTTCACCAAAGTAGTCCAAGAGGCCAACAAGGTCAGCAACAATATGGAGCATGCTGTAAGAAGAGGAGCTCAAGGGCGAGTCAGAGTCACCATAGCCTCGTAAATCTGGGGCGACAACGTGATAACCATGGCTAGCAAGAACAGGGATCTGGTGACGCCAAGAGTACCAGAATTCTGGGAATCCATGCAGCAAAAGTACAAGGGGTCCTGTGCCTAGCTCTGCTATGTGCATCTTTATCCCGTTAGTTTTGACCCATTTATGCTGGATTTCTCTCTCCATTACTTCTCTGCTCTCTGATCTGATATTATCTCCCTGCCAGTTTCTTTCTCTGATATCAATGCTGCTTGGCTATCTTAATTTTATAATGAATCTTTCATTCTCCCTTTGAATATAAGAAATAAAAGTCTGACTTTGCATGGATATGTCAGCTACGGAGTATTTGCTACTTGTATTTTATTTTATTTTTGTTTAATTTAATTTAATATATTATTTTTGAGGAAATTTAATTTAATATATAAAATTACATGATATGACGATTAAAAAAAAAATGAGATCAACTGAGTTGTACGTCAATTCAAACATTAGCCAAAGATCTACACGACCTACAAAGTAACAAATTACTTCGTACAAAGTTGACTTTATACAAATTGTCTCATAATTTACTTCGTTTGAAACTAATACTCACTCTGTTTTATATCGTTCTTTTTACTTTGACCAATTTTATCTCACAAACAAATTTTAGATAGGAAAAACAATATGACACAACAACCTTAAGGTTGTAATTTAAATAGCTAACAATGGTGATCTTAAGCCTAATCAAGCGTTAATAGTAACAAATGACATGTAATTTTGTCATAAATTTTTATATGAATTCCATAATAGAAAATATAATGAATGCTTTTCTACAATCCCAAGGGTTGTGTATATCACTATCCAATGAAAGATTTGTTCAATTGAACCCCATCGGATTTACAACACTTGTTTTATTGTAGATAATTGGGTATGGCCTATACTTAGATATAATTAAAACACTGTACAAGATTAAAATCCAAGATTAGAGAAAATATAAAGTCAATTGAATGCAAAACAAAATGAAAAATAAAAGGCTTATTTGATACGCCTATATTATACCGTTTCAGACGTGATCTTTCTGTCTCCCTCCCTTTCTGCTTTGGACCTTCATCATTTACTTTAGCCTTAATTCATTGTTAATGCCAAAATCTGGTATATTTGTAGATTTTGCTCTTTAATAAATCTCATCCTTTTCATTTCTCATTTAAAAATCATAATGTCTTAATTTAGAAAATATCATGCAATTTTTTTAAAGGTTACTCTGTTATACGAGTACATATATACATAATATACAAACTTGCAGATGATTTAGATCGATGTTGTGATCATATGGAGTTCTACGAGTTCGACAAGGGCCTTAAGCTTTTTAGGTTTGCCTCTTATTTTATTGTTTTTCATCTTCTTTTCCTTTTGCAGTCAAAATTGATTAAAGCAAGTCTTCCATATACGAGACCATCTCATGTTAACTTAACAAGCTTAGAGACACACGCGATGTGTGCGTGTGCAATATAAAAAATCTATCAGGTTCGATTTATTTATTTTTTTCGGATATGATTTATCTGAAAAAAATAAATAAATAAATAAACGAATAATAATTTTTTTTAAAAAAATAAGGATAATAGTTTTTTGTAAGAGGATGGTAGTTTTTTTTAAAATAAATAAAAATGAGAGATATTTTTAAAAAGTGAAATTTATACCCAAAACCTTTTATATATTACTATAGATTTAGCAAATTATAAAGTTTTACTCGTACAATATATGGAAATATATATCTAAAAGAGCTTTGGTAAAATATTATTACCGTTATTAAATTTGTCAAATGATACAACCACCTTAAAAGTTGTCATACATCAGTGGGGACAAAACTTATCATAGAGAAAAAAACAAGGAAAATTATCGCTGGTACATTCCAGGTTTTGACTTTTATCTTTGATACACTTTATTAAGTTTTCATTATCAGTGGTATACTCATAATTATCACTAAATTATTATAGTAAGCAAACCGTTAATCAAACGTTAAGTAAGTTAATCAAAAACGTTTACTTTGAAAAAAAAAAGATTTACCGTTCTCTCTCCTACTATTTCTCTCACCTCTTCACTTTGTTACAGATTTACCACTTCTTCCTCCCACTCACTTACTGTCTCTTCCTTCTGCAAATTTTTCTGTTTCTTTTTCACTTGAAAATTACTTGAAATTTGAAACAATCCTTCCATTTTTAGTTGAATTTCGATCTAATTAATCGTTTAATTCCCTATTAGTATCTTTATTTGATAATGTGAAAAGAAGTTATCGGCTGCATACAGTCCAAAACGATACTCCTTGCTTCTCCAAACGACGCCACTCCTCTCCCGGAATCCGACAAGCAATCTCGGGTCTTTTCTTCTTTACTCTGATTTTCCCACTTTTATTTCTCCATTAATTTTTCTGGGTATTGCTTTAATTTTTTTGGGTTTGTTCATTTCAGTTGATTTCAAATTGGTAACTGTAGAGTTTTTTTTTTTTTTTTTTTTTTAATTTTTTTTTTATTATTATTATTTTGGCCGGCTTGTTGATTATTCAACCATTTGCATATAATCTATAAATATCCAGTATTTTTTTGTGATTTATGTTTATGAGAATTGCTTTAATTTTGATGAATTTGTTGTTTTTTATACTGTTTTCTGCTAAAATGAGGGTATAATGTGTAATGCAGCAGTTGGAAAAGTAGGAGATGGGGACAATCAGCAGCAAAAAGTAGCAGCATTTAGAGAGTACAATTTGATAGAGCTTAGGAAAGCAATTAATGGGTTTAGCACAGAATATATAGTTTCTGAAAGTGGGGAAAAAGCACCTAATGTTTTGTATAAAGGAAGAGTTGAAACTAATCGCTTGCTCAGCAGTTTCTGGTTTGATTAAATGAGAGGGGTAATTCAGTATTTTTAGCCTCCAAACCTTTAAAATACTGTCAACTAAACATAATTAACGATTAGGTTACTATAGTTAATTAGGAAAAAGTTTAGGTATAACAATGATAATGAAAGTTTAATGAGGTGTACTATTAATAAAAGTTGAAACCTCGAGGGTATCATTAATAATTTCCAAAAAAAACAAAGCGAAGAGTCCAAAAGTAATGTACTTGGGCGCCAAGGAGTACTTTAATAAAGTTTTAATTCGTATAATATTTGTACAAGTGTAAGGTTCGCTGCCTTGCCGATTAACTGGTGGTCGCTAGGGGTGGCAATCAGGTCGGGTTGGGTCATTTCGGGTTTGGGTCATTTCGGTTTCGGGTCAAAAAACCCCTGACCTGAACCTGACCCATTTAACTTTTCGGGTCAGAAATCCTAGCCCTAACCTGATTTATTCGGGTTCGGGTCAACCTGATTTCAACCTGATTTTTTTTAATGAAAAAATTAAGCCAATAATTTGGATTTTTATTCAGATCTGGCAACACATACATTCATCCTTTAATTATTTTTTATAATTTAATACTTAGTATGAAATTGGAATCCACACAGTACACCTTTATACGAGAATTGAAGTTACATTTCCAAAATAAAACAAAATAATGATCCATATGAAGCGTCAAATTCATGAGTCGGTAAACCATGAAACAGCAAAAGCTCAACCTTGCATGTCGTGCAAAACAAAAATAAGAAAAATCAGAGAAACAAAAAAGAAAAAAAAAAGAATGAAAGAAAAATTCGACACAATCATTAAATAAATTGAAAAACAATTACAGAAAAACAAACATACACGAAATATTATTTAAACTAATGACTAAATTCTTATTTTCAAACAATAGAGATTTTCGAACTAAAGAACAACAACAAAAATAAACTATTTAATAACACACACAAAAAAAACGAAGTAGTAGAAAAATGAAAGTCATATTTTCATTTGATGAAGATCTGGGTTAGAATATTAGTGAAAAACTCATTTAAAGGAAGGAGAGAAGAAATTATGAGAGAGAAGAGAGAAAAAATTATGAGAGAGAAAGTGGAGGTAAGAAAACATGTGACGGTGGCTGGTGGGTAGGGAAATAAATATTAGGGTTTTATTCTTTAGGTAGTACATATATATCTCATACGGAGTACAATTTGGATCTGGCCCAAAAACAAAACATGTTTTAATTTTTTTCGGGTCAATTCGGGTTACTTTCGGGTTGAATTTCTCAACCTTAACCTAACCCATTTAAATATCAGGTCGGGTTCGTGTCAACCCATTTAAGTTTTCGTGTCAAAAACCTCAACCCTAACCCGATATTTTCAGGTCGGGTTCAGGTCGTGTTTTCGGGTCGGGTCAGTTTTTGCCAGCCCTAATGGTCGCCTATCTACTCTCCTCTAAGGAATCGTGGGTTCTCACTTCTCAATTTTAGTTTCATTTTTTTGGATAAGTTTTTCAATGTCTTCCTCCAAGTTTTGTATTTTTTGAAGGGGTGGGCTTCAATTTGTTACGGGGGACGAAAAACTGATAAGTATAGTGGTAGTAGTTTCCATAAAATAAATCATGCAAATATAGTATTTCATGCACACACATTTAAATATGTGATTTTTCCAGGGAGACATGAAAGCCAGAAGAGAAGAGTAACGGACAGAAAGCCAGAAAGACGGAAGAAAAGAAAACTGAACTCTGAAAAGTGAAACCTAACTTTCCTCTTTCCTCACTCTTCGAAGTTCGAAAATCCTCTGCCAGTCCGCCGCTCTCGCTCTTCGGCTCCACTCCCGGCACTCCGTCCCTCCGTCCGTCGAGTCGCCGCCGTCGCTGCTTCGTGAGTCACTGCTTCGTCCGGACTCGCTGCTCTCCATTCGACTTCGCTCACTTAGCTAAATCGCTAGACCTAATTCACGGTATGTAAATCTGAATTTAATCTCTGAATTATTAGTTTATTACTTGTTTGATTGTTTTATAGTTTATACTTTTATTCAATTATTCTGGGTATTGAAGATTTGAAGTATTGAACTATTGAAATTTGAAATGTGTTGGTTTATTGTGTTATTGATATCTCTGAATATTGAAATCTGTTGGTTAATTGGTTTATTACTTGTTTTTTCTTCTGTTTTTGTGAATTTATTGAAATAATGAAATGTATAGTTAATTTTGTGAACTTTTGATTGCATTTTTTTCTCCTGTTTTTGTGAATTTATTGAAATGTATAGTTGAATTAGAATTTAGAATTTTAGGTTTTATTATTATGTAATGATGTGGAATTGTGGATTGTGGAAATTGATATATATTTTTCAATATATCTAGGAAATGTCAAAAGATTCACCTAATTCAAACAAATCCAAGGCAACTAGTAAACAACCCGATCTTCGACAATTCTCGTGTAAAAGACCGAAACTCAATGAAAATGAGTCAAATTTTAATATTAGGTATTAACCAATTTGTGTGTGTTTTTTTTTTTTTTTTTGTCAAGTTAAAGCTTTTTGTCCCCCCAAGTTGAAAATCCGGGCTCCGCCACTGGATTTTTACATTAACTACGTTGTTGACTTGTTGCATATAACATACTATTCTTATTGATATTATGCCAATGCAGGTTCTATAGGTAATATAGAAGATGGCAAATCATAACATTGTTCTGTTTCTGCTGATTTTTCTTTCATTTTCTCCAACAAGTCAGTCATGGGGTTGGTTCTCATCTTCTGCACACGCCCATTCAAGTGAAAACCAATCAGGAAATAAGGATATTATGTCCAAAAGTTTGGTTGCTGAGTTTTCTGTTGATGCCCTTGATAATCCAAAAGCTGCTGAATTGCTTGAAAATGCCAGGAGAAAGTTGGGAGGGACAAATCCTTGTTGGTTCAGAGCATACCAAGATTTATTTTCGACTTGTTCTGAAATATTTGCTGCAGAAGAAAAGAGAAAAAGGCTTGCTTGGCATCTGAGTGATTGTTTTCAGAAGGATACAGGGAGGACTCCCTTCCCATCTTGTGCCAGAAAATTTGCCATGGTTGATTGTTTAAGGAAGTTGAATAATGATGATCATAAGACTTACCTTGAATTTTACCTTCAGACAAATTCCATTTGCCATCAGTTACAGTAAGTAGTATGATTTATAAATTTAAACAATTTTCATTACCCCTTTTCTCTTTAAAAATTTTGTCACATTAGTGCTACAGGTCGAAGGCTTTCAAGTCTCAGCTAGAAGGTTTAGTGAATGACGTGAAAGATTCAGCACTGGTTGCAGAAGACAAATTGAAGATCATTGAAGAAAAATCGTATAATCTTCTGCATAGTTCGAATGGAATACATGAATCTATAACATCGATTGATGCACAAACTCAAGTTGTTGGGGAGACTTTGAAGAAAATGTTTGGATACTTGGGTGTTGTTTTGAATCACTCGAAAGAGCTCAACGAGACAGCTAAGGGAATTGCAATGTCTCAGTTAGAGTTGCTAGAGGGACATGTACGAATGAAAGACAAATTGGAGGAAGATATGTTGAAAATTCAAGAATCTTATCAGAATTTAGGTGAAGAAATACTTGGTTTACAGAAGAAGACTGTTGATGTCAAGCAGGAGGTGAACAAAGTTGGAGAAGCAATGTCATCAAAGATGCAGAATCTCCAAGGAAAAACTGATGATATTACTAAAATGGCCAAAATTTCTGTAGACAAACAACAAGAGCTTCTTCAAGGTCAATCGATTGCTCTCGAGGGTCTTAAGTCTCTCACTACTTTTTTGTCTCAAGCACTTCAAGAGAGCAGGTAATTAATTTCTGTGCAGTCCAAGGAGGGATGACAAATGTGATCTTTGTTTAATTTCTTAATGCTATCTTTCTTCTTTTCAGGGTTTCTTTGGAACAACTAGTGGACTTCGCAAATGGGCAACACCTAGAACTATTGAAGCAACAGCCACAACTTCTGCTAGCTAATGATCACTTGGCTAACAACTCAAAATCCATATTAGCAGCTCAGGTGATTGACTTATAGATACAAGTAATACAAAGCTATAAAAAAGTTAGCTGAAGTTAGCATTTGTGCAATTATTGCCTTGTTTATTAACTAATTGCGAGTCTTATATGTTTTTTAGGAAGCATTTGAGTCGAAACAAGCAAGCATGTTTGCTGCCATTGATAAACTCTTTGCCTTGCACAATGCCATGTTGCTCGAGTCAAGGGTTATCAAAGCTTTTTTTGTGTACTCCATCTTAGTCCTTGTTCTCTACATGCTGACAAGCACGAAGCAAACTTATGGTGTGAGATGTAGACTTTATATAGGTATGTGTCCAATTATTTTTTGTACTGAATCGAATTAATTTCTACTGATCTTAACTGTCACTTACGATTCTTGCTCATGGCAGGATTGTGCATTGCATTCGCAATAGAATGTGTAATACTGCGTTTTACATCCAATGAGATTGAACAACACATATACCTAAGGACTGCTGTGAAGCCACTTTTTGGAATCTATGCTGTCATTCAACTTCTGTACACCATCTTTACATTTAGGTATATATTCCTAACTTGGATATTTTTTAAATAGAGGAGAAGATTATTATTTTTGGTTATGCAAATTGATATTTGTTTCAATTTTTGTAGGGATTATGAAACGTTGAACTATAATATGTTGGTCTCCCTCCTGGACAAGGTAAACGGGATGAAGAAAGGAGATGATTTATCATGGGATGACAATAATGACGATGTGGATAGTGAAGTTGACTGGATATCTTGGGTAGAGGCTGAGTTCCCTGAAGACATAAGTGTTATGGAAGACCCAGATTATATGCTACCAATTGCAGGTGAGGAAATGGGAGAGAACTCTGTTGCTATAAGCACAGAAAGAAGATATAATCTTCGTTATCGACGATAAGCATTTTTGACTAAGAAGATATGGTTATGGACACATAACCTCAGCATATACATAGAAATTTTGTTTTCATAATGTCATTATATAGGTAGAAATGAATACATACATAGTTTTAGAGGTAAAATTTTACTTTGATCTGTAGTAATAATGTGGTGTGAGGGACAGAGGTAGCCCAACTATGGTTTTCTACACGTATTGTAAAACTGTGACTTATCCTAAATCATGAGGGATAGAACAATATGACAACTATTTTCGTAACGAAAATCAATTATTTATGTAACGAAAATTATTTATGATATCATTCCCTAACTTTAAATGATATCATAAAAAGAAGTGTGACAATTAAATTGAGACATCTTTATCTTGTTTGCATAATGCTCAATCTAAGCATGTTTTATAAAAATGAGTGAGTGAGAGAGAGAGAGTTATTTGTTATGTTATTATAAACTCTTGGAAAGCTAAAGTCTGCCCCAAAGAGAAGGTATAGGTAAGAAAGTATCTTTACTTTAACTTTACTAGAATAGAAAGTCGTTAAAATTGGCATTTAATTGACTTCTTCAACAATGATTGAGTTTGAGAGATTCTTTTAGATGCTTTGATTGAAATGGAAACTTATGAAAAGAATACATTCATATTGGAGATGAAATTGTATTATCAAAGATAGCTGTTTGAGGTTTCCCTTGCAATGCTAATCACTAACATATTTCCATAAACATAATTTATTCCCGTCTATCGAACAGCGAGTGCTAAAATCACTCCTGGAGGATGCATGTTTTAACAGGTAGGTCCTAATAGAAGTATCACCATCTCAACTGGAACAGGAAGTAAAAACATAAAAGGTTTGGTGTTGAGCTGATCTTAATTGCATGGAATAGGGAATTGCCTTTTTCCTTTGATGTGTACAAAAAAGTACAAAAGATACAAACAGCTCACAAATTCTTTCTATAGTACAGTCTGATCTCCGACATACTTTACCAAAATCGACAGAGCAGAGGAGGTTAGTTGGAGAAAGAATAAATCAACCTGAGACAACATCTCATACAACACCCCTACTTACACAAGACAACCATCCAAAACTCTCGTTGATATAATACATGTACAAAGAAAAAATTCTAACACGCTAACTGATCCGAGCTGAACGAAAACAACAGGGCAATTCACGGTAGAGAAACTCTCAATATTGGTTCTCTAACCAGTTGAACAATAGCTTAGAAAGTCCTTATTGCCTCCCCAAAATGCTGCTTGTCGCTTCCTCACTCATTCAAAATGGAGCACCACCAATATAAGTTTTCCTTTAACCCATCCACCAGTATTTTTATCTCACATGCAGGACGTGTTTACACAAAATTGCTCTATATGTGTTTCACATACATAGGCAAAGTAGAAAAGTATGATACCACTGCTGTATTCTAAAGAGCTTGTGCCTGAGATTTTCAAAAAGTGGCTTTCCATAGTTCATCCTCACTTTCCCCACAACGCTGGTGAACCTCGTGAATACTTTCATCAGAACGGCAAATGCCACTGCAGATCCAGTCGAATGAAGCACCACAAACATTTCCTGCCTGAGCTTTCCATTCACAATCTGTAGTGATACAATAAGGACAAAATAATAAAGTGAGGTTGTTATCTTCTTTATCTATCAGGAGGAGACCAAGATTACATGTACAATTTTACTGGTCTTGAAATAAAATTTGTAAGGGATAGTAATGAAGATTTGTATATGAGAATATGACTACTCATGGAATAGTTCATTCATATAGTTGTCTTAGAAGTGCATCTCCATTGATAAACATTTGTTATTCTATTCTCAAAAAATATTTATTTGTAAAAAATAAAATTATGGAAAAGAATCCTACCTGGGGGAGTACCACAACATAGATTCTTGTCATCAACATGTGTTACATCCAGACCAATAAGCCATGATCCTAAAGAAACATCTTCATAGTTCATTCGCATATTTGTGCAGCAGATGTCTGGCAAATCATAAACATCACCAAAACAAATCACATTACTAATTAGGAAAAGAAACATTGTTCTGTTGAGGTGTCCATTCTTTCAAGTAATTATGGTCCAAACACATTAGAGTTAGCATATCATATAGCTAGCAGTTGTGGACTTAGCGGGTAGCCAAATCATTCAAAATATAAAATGACGACTCACAAAGATGCTAAAAGTTGTGGATTTACATGTTAATGGCTATATAGGTTGCCAAGTCATTTGAAATAGCATATAGCTGTCCTGTAGCATGTCGGAAATACTTGTTTCCCTCTCCACCAAATTTCCAATGCTCTGGTTCTTGATATCTCACTCCCCTGTTCATGATAAGCAGCCATTAGGAGCCATAAATAAATGGTCCCTCATAGTATATCAAAAATGACGGAAAACTCAAATTACTTTTTAGCAAGGATTGGACCGGACTTCATACAACCTACATATACTCTAGGCTTCAAGCGATGGCTGGATAAAATCTTCCCTAATGTGCCTGCATCAACAAAATCTAGGTAAAAACACAACCTCAAAGTATAGACGCATGAACCTGTTGCTATGAGAACTTAATCATCAGATAAATTATCATAAAGAACAAACTGTCTTTCTTTTTGAAAATAAGAATATGCTTGTATTAAAAAAGACTTTCCTTTGAGAGGTCAAGAGGATGAGATGAATTCTACTACCTAGCTAAAACAATTGAATATAGCTATACATTACAAAGTATAAAAAAAAATGGTGACCATGAAGCGATAAAAAACTAAGATTCAAAGCACAATTTTCTCACATCTTCCCAGTAAGAATAATCCATATACAGACGTCCATCATCAAAATTTGTTTAGACTACAGTAGCTGCCTTCAGCCGACAAAATATCCTTGTGTTTGAACATTGTAACTCTGAACAATTAATCGTTATGGCCACAAAATGTTTAGCTAGAGATAAAAGGTTACCTTGAACTCCACTTTATTTACTTTTCAAATTACATTAAAGAAGAGGCCAATGGGTCTTTCAGTCAGTACTACACAAAGTATATTAATTCTTTGTGTAAAAAAATTTATGGGGAATGCTTGGACAAGAATGCCTGAAACTTCTATTATGTTCCTGTATAAAATTTATTTATTCTATTCATGAACATCTTCAACTGCACAAACTACTATGAGAGCCAGACAAAAAGAGTTAAAATTTATAAATGGTTGCAAAACCCTTAGCAGTAGCACATCATGCTAGATGCTACATCATGCATTGATTTTAAATACTAGTAAAAAAAATTGGCTTCAAAAGGGCACTTGAAAAAGCCTATGGAAGGGATTTAAAGAATGAAAGTAATTGAGAAACTCTTTACCTAGATTAACATGAACATCGTCATCTACTTTTACATAAAAGTCAGCATCCCACAGGCCAACAGCGGTGGAAAAGTATGTCCTTGTCTTGGCTGAGAGTTCCAAATAGCCCTCTACATGTTCCTGCTTATAGTACGAATGTACAGTTTAAAAGATGAAAGATAATAGTTGTTTTCATGTATCACAGTTAAGATTAAAAAGGAAACAGAGCTCACCAATCTCAAAAAGTCTCCATGTTTATTATCCTCTGCTTCGATTGCCTTATCAAGAATGCCACCAGATGTTGAACTGATGACAAAAGATGTTTCACACAGTTACATTTTTTGTACAATTGTTCTTATACAAAAGAATCTCTCATAGATTAATCTTTTGAGAAAAACAGAAGGAAAAACCAGCCAAGGTTAGCATCAGATTACGAAAACATAACATTATAAAGGCCTGAGGTGACCTTGAGTCAATGAAGGATAACGTGTTTGTTGTGCGACAGCGGAAGCAAAGGTCGTAAACAAACAAGAAAACAATAAAGAAATTCAATGCAAACAATAAGAACAACACCAAGAATTTACGTGGTTCACTATCGATGTGATAGCTACGTCCACGGGCACCGAGATCGAATGATTTCACTATAAACTGCAAAGATTACAAAGATGATTCTTGTATTTCTCAAGAACGGCTTTCACTCTGTCTCTCTTAACCCTAATACTGATATTAGGGAGGTTTTATATTAATCCCTAATTAAAAGATACTTGGGCAAAAAGATAATAAAATAAGATAACCTAAAACCGCAAAATCCGCGTTCCGTATTTTTCCTTCTCCGCCCGGTCAGACCGGGCAAGGTCTGCCCGATCGGGCGCGAGAAGAAAACTCCATACGAATGCTTCAACGTATCCAACCCCCACCGCCCGGTCAGACCGGGCAAGGTCTGCCCGATCGGGCGAAGGCTCGCCCGGTCGGGCGAAGGCTCGCCCGGTCGGGCGCGAGAGCAGCTTCTTCAACGAATTTGCCAGGCACCTCTTCTTCTTCCGCCCGGTCAGACCGGGCAATGTCCGCCCGATCGGGCGGACAAAGCTACGAAGTACGAGTCACCTAATATACTTATCAACAATCTCCACCTTGACGAGAACTCGTAGTCAGCAAACGACCCCATCAAGACATAGTGAAAAAACATCTCAAGCCAAACCCGATGCAAGACTCATGCATAAGCCATACATCCCGATAAGTCTTCAACCAAGACCCATCACATACTCGTCTCCAAGTATAACAACTCATAATGCTCCACCTGCATCACAAGCCCCGGGCAAGCTCCACCTTAAGGCCAACACACCTACACCAGGAGCTCCCCAACTTCGCCCCTCAGGGCCTACTACATCACGTAGTAATCAATATTTAACAAGTCTAAGCAATGTTTAAACTTGCTAAACGGAACAGGCTTAGTGAAGAAATCAGCCGGGTTGTCAGCAGTCCCAATCTTCTTCACCTTAATCCTCTTGTCAGTACGTAAGAAATGATACCTGACATCAATGTGCTTCGTCCGATCATGGTGTACTTGATCTTTAGCTAAGCAAATCGCACTTAGACTATCACAATACACTGTAGCAAAATCCTGTGCAATACCCAGTTCACCTACTAGGCCTTTGAGCCAAATAGACTCCTTAGCTGCAGAAGTTAAAGCCATATACTCAGCTTCAGTAGTTGACAACGTAACTGATGACTGCAATGTAGACTTCCAACTAACCACAGAACCACCCAAAGTGAACACATAACCAGTCACAGACCTCCTGGTATCCACATCAGCTGCATAATCAGAATCACTGTACCCAGTGACCAAGCATTCCTTACCATTCCCGTACACAAGACCAATATCAGCTGTCCCTCTCAGGTAGCGAAAAATCCTTTTCACCCCTTGCCAGTGTTCCCTCCCAGGTCGAGCCATAAACCTGCTTACAACACTAACAGCATGCGCAATATCCGGCC